ACATTAATGGACATCAGTGAAAACAAATGTAAATATGCCGGATTGTAGCTACAAAGCTAATTTACATCCGTAGTCCCTAATCCGTAGACCTTAATCTCCATATGTTCATTTACGTATCCTCAAAGGCAATTTGATTATGAACCACCTAAAATAGATTTTTATTACTTATCCAAAGCTAACTGAGAGATGTTATAGAACCATGTGGAGTTATTGCTTTATTTTAATCTCCTTTAAAAGTCAGCACTCTACATTTTTACCCCAAACTGTCAAAAATCACTAATAGTTACGACAACTGACTAACAAACAGACAATAAACTGTTTCATTATCTTTTGATAAGAGTGTTTTCAGATGACTGACACCCACAAATTTGGAAACAAATGATGTCTATAGCAATCTAAATAAAGGTTTTGAGGCAGGTTATTGGGAGGGTTGTCTCATCATCTGTGTGCAGACAAAAGCTCATCTACTTTAAACTGAGGAGTCTCTTTAAAGATAAAATTGCAGTATCAAGAGTGTTTGCAGTGAAAGTATGCAGTATGTCAGCGAGTTTAACTAAACTGGATTACAGGGACATAAAAATAATTGTGCATTTTGGATTATTTCTGGATTACAAGGTGAATTGATACGTTTTTTTTGTTTTGGTTGTGATCATGACATGGCTTTGAAGTCAAGTTAATTAAAGGAAAGAAAAAAAAAACATTTGTTGTGTTTGCAGGTACTCCTGTGCACGATGACGTCAGAGTGGGAACCGGAAGTACCTTCAACATCTGGAGCGTCCTCCCACGGCTGCCCATTCACCAGCACGTTGACCTGGACAGCTGCCTCAAAGTTCTGCAGATGGAGACACCAGCAGACTCAAGACAAATAATATTCTCACTTAAAGACAACCGAAACAGCAAAAACTCGGATTTAATCACACAAACGGAAGATTTTCTCCGAAATAAACGCGTTACTTTGATTTTTAGAGTTGGCCTTCACTAGCTAAAACAAACACCATAACGAAGTTGGCCTAAAATAATCATTTACAGATTCAAAGTGTCAAATATGAAGTCAAATTCAACCCGTTTGCCTGTTTAAACACTCTACTAAATGTTGTAAACAAGACCCACCGCCAGCAGCTCCTCCAGTAAAACTCGTTTCGTCTCTTCTGCAACATCCGGCTGTCCGTCCAAAGCGCGCTTTAAAATCTCTTTACATTTGTTTATCGTGTCGGTTAATCTTTTCTTCGACGTAACTTCAATTCTGTAATCCTGATTTGGTTCCTCGCTGGGCGAAGTTTCGCTCTGCGGATGCTCCATCTTTACCGCCAAGTTTGTTCGTTTGACGTGAACCGGAAGTAAAAACGTAGCTTCCGGGTCCGACTGCAACTGTGTCCTCCACTGGAACAACAATAAGAGGAGAGGAATGTTCCGGCTGTTGGCTTAGCGGCTGAAAGAAAGAAAATATGAATTAGACATTGTTTGCTTTTTAAAATTAATTTATTTTGAATAGATTTTGGCTTTGTTGACTTCGTTCACATGAAAATTGCAGGGGTACTTAAATTCATAAGCAGATAACAACAAATGAGAAGATTTAGAAATACAAAGGTGCATTTTAACTTACCTGTTTTTTTCTTTGTTTGCTGTTGACAATAGAACGAGTCATGCCTTAAACAAAGATATTATTTTCTGACAAATTATAATGTTTAAACTTTCTAATCCTAACTAAATTTTTTAAACTGTTATGATAAATTACAGAAGGTTGAGCGACACCCTATTCCTCTACACATTTCCAGTATACTGGACTTAATATGTTTTTATCAAAGTTTGTTATTTTTTTTGTCTTTAGGATCTGGAGGAGGTGATCCAGAGGACCAGAGAGGTGAGCAATAGAAGCTCATTTTGCACGAGAATTTCTTCATAAATGTCACGTTTTATTTCCAAAACAAACACTATGAGAAACTCTGACAGAAAAAGTTGATTTACGATCAGGCTTGAAAACATATCAAGAGTCTGAATTGTAGACAGCATGTAGTGAGTCTAACTGGGAGAAAGGACAAAGGGGCCTGAACCTGAGCTAGCTCGCTCTCCCGTTATATAAATGTATGGATTATTCCTCCCAGCTGCTCTCAGCTGGCCGTCCTTTTCTTTGTTATTCCTAAAGTTGGGTTGAATTCCTTTCTCACAGCCCTCTGGTGGTTCAAAGCTTGCCCCCCCCCCCCCCCCCCCGGGGGAAAAAACCCCCCCCCCACCCCCTTTTTCAGACATGTTTTCCTGAGCCGATTCTCAGAAATGGGAGAGGACCTGTATCAGG